CAGTGTGTTGGGAATGTAGGAGATAGGGTTGGCAGCTAGGTGTTGTAGGGCCTCCTTAGCCAGGGACGGGACTCACATTTTATTCTGGACATACTGGAAAACTATAAGAGGGAATTGAGTTTTAAAAGACCATTTTGAATTAGTCTAGTATTATATATTCAGGTTAAAAATACACATATATTTGACTCATTTGTTTATTGCCTGCCTTGTCCCAATAGAATATGACCTCCACAAGGGTTTGCTTAAATACCTCCTGTGTGATAGTAGTGTTCTAGATATTGGGAATGTAGTAAGAGAGAAAGCAGATGCAAACAAACATGATGAGGACATCCTGAGTTCAAACCCCCGCCTACCAGCTGTGTGACATAGGGCATGACTCTTAACTTTTCTGTGCTGTTTCCTCATCTATAAAATAAAAATGACAGTGCCTACCTCATTAAGGTTGTAGTGACAAATAAGTTGCTAATTGTAAAAACGTTTGTAACATCTGGCACATAATGTTATGGTTATTATTTAAATAAAATCAGACATGTGTTTAAAACCTTTAATAAGAGGGAAAAAAATAAAAAGGTGACTTGCAGGCTGCCATATGGAGAACAGGCCGTAAAGGACAAGTGGGAACAAAGAGAACAAAGAGGAGGTTCATGAAACAGGCACAGCAAGTGACATAGCTCAATATCTCCTGTGTGCCAAGCACTGTGAAGTGTATAACATGACCTGCCTGAGATAGCCACCACAACAGGCCCATGGTCCCCACTTTTCAAATAAGGAAATTGGGTCTGAGGTTAAGTAACTTGCTCAAGTTCACACAAGTTTTCAAGGTGGGATCCATAACTTCTATCCAATAATACTTTACTTTTTTTTATTCAATATCCCACAAGATTTCCAGAAGGTACCTTAGGAGTCTCATACTAGAACTATTAAAACTAGTCAAAGGGGCTGGGAATGTAGCTCAGTGGTGCCTTGCCTGCCTGGCAAGCATAAAGTCCTGAGTTCATTCCCTGCTTCTGAAAAACAACAACAACAACAACAACAACAACAAAACACACACAACTAGTCAAGGAATGGAGCAAGCAAGGAGAGAGAAAGCAGAGAAGGAACTCAGAACTCTTGTTCCCTGGAGAATTAGTACCTCCTGGGTATAAGACTTGTCTACTCCATGTATTAGGAGTGGAAAATAAGGAGAACTGGACCTTTAGGGCCCATTGAAATCTGGCCTCTTTCAGCCCCTAAGCATCATCCCCACTATCTTGTGCACATGCAAACACACACACACACACACAAACACATACCCTATGCAAAAGGTGAAATTCTTTAAGGTTGGTCGGAATTGGGGTGCAGTGATTGCCAGCTCTAGAAATATTTCTGAGCCAGTTATTGTCCCACTTCAGAAACTATCCAGGCCCACAGTCCACATCCACAGGCTACAGAGGCCAACTTTCCTGCTGCAGAGCCAGGACTCCTGCTGTGTCCCAGGTATCCTCTACTTTCAGCCCCTATAATTGCACCCTTCTCATATAATAGCATAAGCAGTAAGTGGCTAGATCTTCGAAGAGGTGTGGAAAGCTGACAGGTAAGTGGTCCCACCACGTAGTTTTCATGCTGTGGTACTCCCAGCCAAATGCAATGAGAAAGGCCTCCTACCTGGCTGGAAACTCATCTTTACAATTGCTTTTAACATACATCTTATCAGAACTATAAAAGTTTTGCCATTGAGTGCAGTCATTTGGACTATAAGGAAGCAGGGGAGGCTGGCAGAACAGCAGCACAGAAGGATCCAGGTTTCTGTAGACCTTGGAGCAATCACATTAGCATTGAACTACCTGCCTTCCAAGAGAGGAATCCTCTTCTTGAAGCTACTGACGTGTGGTGGTGGTGGTGTTCCATGCACCCAAACTGAATCCTGAACAATATATCAGAATTTTCCATCTTGGCACGGGTGGGGGTGGTGAATAATGGTAAATGAAGACCAAACTGGAAATGAATGAGGGGCAAGGAGAGGCAAAGGGTGATGGACTGAATATGAATAACCAGCAGAGTGGAGTGAATGTGGGGGGATGTGGGGCAGAGTGAGGGAATGACTATGCATTAAATTTTAAATTAATTTGAGATCAAGGAAGAGATTGATTATATGAGATGAGGTGAAATCTCATCAATCTAGGTGACAAAAGGTGAACGTGGGAGCAGACTGTGGGTGAATGGAGCAATGAAAGGTGGTGACTGAAAGGAATTGCTATGAGTAAAGGCTTAGCATGTGAACGATTTGTGAGGCACAATGAGTGACAAGGTGAATTTGGGGGGGAAGTAGGAGGGAATGGGGATAATGCAGGACATAGGGGAAGAATGAGGCACAAAAGAAGGGCCAAAAGAAGAGGAAATGGAGATGAATGTGAATCAGATCAAGTTTAGGTGGGGATGCCACAAGGGAGGAGTGTCACTAGAAGTGAATGGGGCAGACTTAGCTAAAAGGAATAACAGTAGTGATTCAGGAATGTGTAGGATAACTGGATCCCCATGTGGGGCATCAGATTTGAATGAGCTGAAGAGTCCATGAATGGAGGTAATGCTCGGCAGAGTGAGAAAGAATGGAAGAGCCAAAAGTGAGTAATTTTGAGTGTTGTGAGGTGAACAGAGAGAGGATGAACGTCATATGGTCCAGGGACAGTAAGTAGGGAAACATGAGCCCCAATGTGAATGAAAACTGGAAAATTTGAGGCAATGTGTAACTAAATGAGGGTACTGGATCAAAGTGGGAGTGTCTATGAATCAGAAGAGAAATGCAAGAAGAGGATAATGGGGTTACATCAGGAGTGAATTTAAATGAATGTGGTAATGAGAGGCCAAGTGAGAGTAAATGAGAACATTGAGCAAGAATGCAGGTGACCAAGCATAGAGTATGTGTGGATGTTATAGTTTATATCTAGATGCCCCTAAGAGCCTCATGTACTCATAGGTGGGGCTTTTGGAAGACAACTGTATTATGGGGGCTTATAGCTGACTTTCTATTAGGAGATGGGATCTAGTCGGAAGAGGCAGGTTACTAGAGGCATGGCCTGGAAAGGTTTATCTCCCTCCCTGGCTCCTCCCTTAAACTCTTTCTGCTTCCTGTCTACCATGCTATGAGCAGCTTCTCCTCTGCTATACCGCTAGGCCAGTGATGGCAAACCTTTTAGAGCTTTCAATGATACAAACAGCTCGCTGTGGCACACGTGTCATAGGTTCACCACCACTGCCCTATGCCAGGCCATTCTGCCTTGGAGCCAGTGAACTAATATGGACTGAAACCTCTACAAACTGTGAACCAAAATAAGCCCTTCTACCTTTAAGTTTCAGGTGTGGGGTATTGTGTCTCAGAGACAAGAAAGGTGACTAAAACAGTGGGTCACTTGAGCTAAGGTTTAGGAGTAATGAGGACAGAGTTTCAAGAAATGGGAGTGATAGGAAGCAGCATCTGAAAGAATAGAAATGATTAAGAGGCAGCAAGGGAGTGAATGGAGGAGAAAATGAGGCCCAGAGTCAGTGACCCAAGCTGAAGGATGGGGATGTAAGGGCGCATGGCCTGTCTGATGCAGTGTCAGGAAGTAGAGGTGAAAGGAGAAAATGAGTCTGAATGAATGGAGGTGAAAGAGTATGATGTGAGAGAATGTGGGTAGTGCGAAGGAAAAGGTTAGGAAATTGTGGAGGCCCAGTGAGAGTGACTAAAACTGAGGCAGCGTTAGTGAACTGGGGAATAAAAGGTAGAATGAGAATGAAGGTGAAAAAGCAGTTGAGCCTATGTACCATATACATAGTATGGCATTTGCAATATATAACATGGGGCAGGCTCAATTTGAATGTAGCAATGCAGTAAATGCAGAGAGGTGAAGGAGGTGCCAAGGATGTGTTACAGTTTGAATGTGTCCCCTCCAAACTTCAGATGTTAGAAATCTAATCCCCAAAACAACAGCATTGGGAGGTGGGGCATGTGGGGAAGTGTTCAGGTCCTGAGGGCTCCGATCTCATGAGTGAATCAACACTGCTATAAAAAGGGCGTGCAGGCCATGGTGAAACAGAAAGGTAATGGATGACCCCGGCGGATGAATCTCTGAACTCCAAATGTAACATAGTGGTGAGTAGGAGAGGAGACACTGAGAATGAGAGGGCGCCTGCACTTAGCACAGCATCTGACATGTAAGAATGAAGCCAAGTTGAATGAAAACTTGTGGGAGAAGGTTTCCATCTACATGAAGAAAAATACTACTCAAAATCATACTTTTTTTTTGGCTATCTTGGGGATTGAACTCAGGGCTTTTTGCATGTTTTGCAAAGACTACTGAGCTATAACCCCAGCCCCTCAAAATATTTCTAATCATATTAATACTTTAGTGCCCAAACGTTGCTTAAAAATCCATATGATCATAAGAATGAAACACAATGTTATACCTATACTATCATGAAAAATGTAAAGAAAATATTCAAAGCTGCCAAGAATATACCAAAATTGATAGTCACCTATTGTTAGTAAAGTATGAAGACACTTTTAGAAATCATTAATGGCAGATTTCAAGAGTCATAAAAATGAACTTATGTCTGACCTAATGGTTTTGGAATTTTCCTGAATAAATATCAGATAATTAGGTACCCATTAATATGCTTAAAGAATTAGCTATAATAATGAAACACAAATAACAACCATCTAATTGCATAAAAGGAGTTAAGTAAGGTATAGAATGCTAGTTCTCAAAAATGTATATTTTTAAGATATCATTTTAGATACCCTGTGTCAATATTTAAGAAGATTTATAATGTACTACCAGCTATAATTGCTAAAATTAAAATTAAACTATGATTTTAAATGTTGTAAAATGATTTCTATGTTACTATGAAAATATTCTTGTATAATAAATAAAGCTTATGAAGAAAAAATAAATAAATAAATAAATAAATAAATAAAAAATAAAAAGGGCATGCAGGAATGGATTCACTTTCTTGCCCTTCTAACTTCGACCACGTGAAGTTGCAGCATGAAAGCCCTCATCAGATGTCATCACCTTGATCTGGGGACTTCCTAGCCTCCAGAATTGTGACGAAATAAGTTTCTGTTCTTTATAAATGTTCCAGTCTAGCAGCACAAACAGACTAAGACAAGGAGTCAATGGAGGCAATGGGAAGCAGGAGGCAGGTGTGTGGTGGTCATATTCTCCAGAGCATGAGGAATCAGAGCTGGCAATAGGCACAGTGTGATAAACAGCACTTAGCACTCAGCAGAGGGGAGTGGAAGTGATGATGGTTAGTAAGGGGAAATGGATGTGACCGAGTGGTAGGGGAGTGTCGGCCCAGTGTGTCCCCAACCCCTCTCCCTGCAGCTCTTTCTGACATCTTTGGGTTTCTCCTCTTTTTCCCTTCTATCTCTGTGTATATGTCAGTATCTTTCTTTGTCCTTGCGTATGTCTTTTGGTTTCTAATAGAACTGGCACCTGGGAAAATGGGGAGGTGGCTTGACCTTTGACCTCTATGTTCTAGAACCTTATTACCCAGACCAGTGCTCATAGAGCCCAGAGATCCAGAATGTTTCTTATTCTGAACACCGCAGGGTGAGGTGGAAGCAGAGTTAGTTAGTTTGGAGGGCTTGTGGCTATCATAATGCAGTTCTTAGGCACAGTGATAGTGATCTTGTCCATATTGATGGCTCCCAACGTGGACGCCAAGATTTTTGAACACTGTGAACTAGCAAAGAAGCTGGAGAAGGCAGGCCTCAACAGCTACAAAGGCTACAGCATCAGAGACTGTGAGATTCCCCAGTTACCCCAAGTCCCACCCATACCCAAAGCCACCCACCACACTCAAGACTCGGCCTCCTTTGTCATTTTTCGTCTCTCTGGACCAGGGCATGATCTTCTCAGTAACTTACTGACTATGATAAATGGTTTAATTCAACTCTAATGTCATCACTATCATTACCTTCACAACCATTACCTAATCTCTCCTATCAACACCATCACCACCACTATCACTGATATCTCACCAGAATCCCCAACATCAAAAGCCCAACACCAAACCAAGATCATCACCCTCACTACTAAGATGACAATCATCCCTGTCTTCATCTGCCTTATCCTAACTTCTTTATTCTTATACCTTATGCTTTATCTCCCTTCTCCCTCCTCAGGGTTGTGCATGGCACACTACAAGAGTGGCTTTGACACCTCCTTCGTGGACCACAATCCTGACGGCAGCAGTGAATATGGCATTTTTCAGCTGAACTCCGCCTGGTGTGACAATGGCATCACACCCACCAAGAACTTTTGCCACATGGATTGTCAAGGTAAGTCAGCACTGGGAACACATGGAAGCCTTGCTGGCCCCATATAACACACACACAGAAGGCAAGGTTGTCTAAACCACAATCTCCTCTGAATGCAGAAAAACAATAGGGAAAGTGGAAAAGTTGCCTGGGCTGTTAGAAATACTGTGGTTAGAAATACTAGATCAGGAAAATGCAGAGCCCCCCAAACCTCACCCACTATGGAAGGTGCAGTTTTCTGACACTCAGGAAACAAGCAACTTAGCTCCATGTGAAAGAGGGACAGACTAGGCCTTGAGGAAAGTAGCAGATATCTGGAAGCAGGAACAGAAACAAACTACCTCTGTGAAGAAATGAGAGAACTTTCCAGACAAGAGTATGATGGTGTTGGGCTGGGGATTTAGCTCAGTGGTTTCGCCGCCTGCTGCACAAGCGCAAGGACCCGAGTTCGATCCCCGGTACCAAAAAAAAAGGTCTAAAAGAGTATGATGGTGTTGAGGACAAAACAAGATAGCAGTTGCTCAGTGTTGGCCAAAATGGTGGTTGAGGTTGCCCAAGACAGGCCAAAATGGAGACTGTATTTGGAGACAGTCCAAATGGAGGTTAAGGTTGTCCAAGACCTGTCACCCTAACAGAAGAGGTCACCCAGGAATGGCCAGATTTAATGCTGAGGTTGTCAAGTATTGGCAACCATAGAGATTGATGTCTAAAACATGGTAAATGGGTAATAAGTCTTTTTGAAGTCTAGTTAAAATTAAAGTCAAGATTTTCAGTTTGAAACAGCATGAAAGTTGAGGTAGTCCAGAATTAGCTAAAATGGAGGTCAAAGTTATTTGTAACTAATAAAAATGGCAGTTGAGATTGTCTAGGACAGGACAACATGGTGGTTGAGATAATTAATAACTAGCTAAGTGGCAGCTGAAGGTCATTTTGGTCTATCCAGCATGATAGTTGAGATCATCTATGACCAGGCACTAGGGTAGCTGAGGTAAGACATGAGTAGCCAATATGGAGATTGAGTCATTCATAACCAGTCAAAATAGGAGTTGAGTTTATGATGGACCCAACAACATAGTATTTGAAGTTACCAGAACAAGCCAACATGGAGGTCACGTAGCTTACCAATTAACCAACATGGTAGTTGAACATATGTCAGACCAGCCAGCATTAGAGTTGAGATCAGTCAAAACCAGACAACATGACAGTTGAAGTCATCCCAAGCTGGTGAATATGGAATTTTATGACAAGCCAAAATGATAGTCAAGATCAGCCAACATGAGTGTTAAGGTTGTACAGAAACAGCCAGTGTAGCAGTTGAGACCATTTATAACCAGGTAATAAGAGTCAACGTCATTCATAATCAGACAAGGTAGTAATTGATTGTGACCCCAAGGAACTCAGAAATCCTGAGTCCTCCATACACTGTCACCCTGTCCCCAATGCACCAGGTCATCATGTCTCTGCCTACCCCCCAGATCTGCTCAACCACCATATTCTGGATGATATCACATGTGCCAAGCTGATAGTGTATTCTAAGAATAGTATGAATGCCTGGTAAGTCCATAGGAATAGTCTAAACCCCAAGCAGCCAGAGACAGTGGTACTGCCACTGCATCAACTTGTCTACTTCATCCTCTTCATCTCTCTCCCTTCATTTCTAGGGATTCGTGGAGCCAGCACTGTTCTGGCCATGATTTATCTGAATAGTTCAAAGGATGTGATGTGAATATGAAAACTGACTCAATGAAAATTAATTCATGACTTAAATTCCCAGAAATGGAAATTTTTTCCTTTCTTTTGTGAGCTTAATAAAGAATGATATCTACAAACAATGCAAGAACGATTGCCTATCAGATGTCTGACTCTTCATTTTTACAATGCCTGGAGGTACCTCCAATCACTTCCTCCCACAACTCCACACCTCTAATCAAGAGATACCAGATCACCTGGTGTTAGGGATGGGATGATAAGGCAGTGGTTAAGAGCATAGGTTATCATTGGTTCAAATACCACCTCTACCACTTGTTAGCTGTGTTGCCTTGAAAGAGGCACTTAATTTCTCTGTGCCTTGGTTTCCTCATCTGGAAAATGAAGATGATAATGACAGTATCTACCTCATGAAGGTACTGGGAGGATTAACTGAATTAATGTTTGCAAACTATATAAAGTGGTACAAAAGACACTTATAGGTTTGGAGATAGAGGAGTAGAGTAGGATATGAAAATTAGCTTCCCTTAAGAAGCACCAGTCTCAGTTGAGCCACTACAGGGTCTTTATTTAAGACAGATACAATCTCTTCAGGGGAAAATGAATTGGATTCAGCTAACACAAGCTCAGTGGGAACTGGGAATCTAAAATATTCACACTCTTCTACATCCTCCCACACATCACTATCCTTGCTGTTAGCCTCACAATGCTATTTCACAATCAGAATCCTAAATTCCAAATGAAAGACTGGGAATTTAGGCAAGGAATGCAAAGGATACACAAGGTAATAATTTCTTTGTACAGAATTCCTGGGTTTCAGTCTGTGTCTTGAGCAGAGCATTTAGGAATTTGAACTTACCATTCTTTTCTTTTTCTTTTCACTGGCCAGCCTCACTGGAAGCAACCACTCTCATGAAGTAGTCCTTCATGTCCTTTGTACTCTTTGGTTGACGGTGGTTACTCAAATACCAAAGCCTTATTTCCAGTGTTCACGTCATCCAAGATAAGCATAGATGATCATTAAAACAGCTAGCTGCCAGTGCAGGCCAGAGAAAGCTTGAGTCTCATTCTTTAATGCCAACTGGATTACCCCTGTGTTCAGCTCAACCAACAGAGATAAGCAAATCTTACATCTCCTTGGGGGTCCATAAAGGGTGCCATCACTCTGGGTGCTGAATTCTGAATGTGATAATTATTCATCAAAAGCAGTATAAACGAACTCTGGTAAATATAAGTCAAAAGTAGATCTTCTACAAGCCTATCAAGCAGCTTATAGTCTCTCTGAAAAGGTTGGATAATGGGGCTCAGAAAGGGAAGAGGTCCACACAGAGAAACTGAGCCAACATCTTGCCCACAGAGCATGCTGTGGTGGAAACACTGGCATTATCAACTGTTGTTACTTCTGGAAACTGGATTTGATGCCCTAGTGTTGTTTTCTTTACATTGTTCTGAATATGCATCCTTTTCTAATAATTTGGAACATTTACAGTATTGTCTTCATTGTTGTTCCTTTAGTGGTTATCTCTAAATCTGTGTTTTCATATCATTCGATAAACCTTTTCTCCTTGGAGGTAGCACTTATTCCCCACTATGAGATGACAAAACAGGTATTCTTAACAAATTTTATTAATTTTCTTCTCTGAGAGTTTGGTATTAAATTTGGAAATGTAGGGCCGGGGATTTAGCTCAGTGGTTTCGCCCCCTGTGGCGCAAGTGCAAGGACCCGAGTTCGATCCCCGGTACCAAAAAAAAAAAAAATTTGGAAATGTATTTCCTTTACATCATTTCCAAGGGACTATACTTATTGAAACTAATTAAATTGGGTTACCCTTGATGATTCTGCCTAGATTTATGATAAAGTTTATCCTCCAAACTGACAGCTCTCATGTACTGAAGGCTTCAAAAGATTTCAGTGTTGAACAACCTCTTTGGTGTAAAATGGTCATCCAATGTACACCCATGATAGGGCTAGGGATGTAGCTCAGTGGTAGAGCACTTGCTTAGCATGTGGGAAGCACTGGGTTCAATCTACAGTACCATAAAGAAAGTTATAACAAAATATACACCCATGATCCAAGTCCAAAGGCCAAGGTTTTGCTTTAGGACCTTGGATCTTGTTACTACTTCTGCCTAGAATGCTCTTCCCCCAGTAAGGCTGGTACATCATTTTCAAATTTAAGCTCAAATATTGGGTCCTCAGAAAAGCCTGCCCTGATCACCCAAGCTAAAGCACAATCACCCACCTCACTTTTTGTACTCTAGTTTCTTTTTTAACTTTGCTATGAAAGATGTTCTGTTTTCAGTTCCTTGGTTTTTCTTCCCTCTGAGTTGTTGAACCCATGATGAGCTATGACCTCTGGAAGGTTTTTCTCATATTCCGAGCAGTCATAGGGCTTCTCTATGTGAATTCGCTGGTGTACAGTGAGTTTGGACTTCTCTCTGAAGGCTCTGCTACACTGATCACATTTGTAGGGCTTCTCTCCTGTGTGAGTTCTTTGATGTATAATGAGATATGACTTCTGGGAGAAAGCTTTTTCACATACATTACACTCATAGGGTTTCTCCCCTGTGTGAACTCTCTGATGAATAATCAGATATGATTTCTGGAAGAATGCTTTATCACATTCATTGCATTCATAAGATTTCTCAAATTTTTCCCCTGTGTGAGATCTCTGATGTAGCATGAGATATGACTTCCGGGAAAAGACTTTTCCACATACAGTACATCCATCTGTTTTTTCTCCCGTATGAATTTTCTGATGAGCACTGAGGCTCAGCTTCAGGGTGAAGGCTCTTCCACAGTCTGGACATACATATGGTTTCTCTCCTGTGTGAATTCTTTGATGTCTGCGCAGTGTTGATTTCTCTCTGAAAGCTTTGCCACATTCGTTGCACTCAAAAGGCTTCTCCCCTGTGTGTGTTCTCTGGTGTACGCTGAGGTGTGCCTTTTGGTTGAAGGCCCTCCCGCACTCTGAGCACTCATAAGGTTTCTCTCCTGTGTGTGTTCTCTGATGTATGATGAGCTTTGTCTTCTCTCGGAAGGCTTTGCCACACTCATTGCACAAATATGGTTTCTCTCCTGTATGAGTTCTTTGATGTATATTCAGGGTTGATTTCTCTCTGAAGTATTTTCCACAATCACTGCATTCAAAAGGTTTCTCCCCTGTGTGTGTTCTCTGATGTACACTGAGGTGTGCCTTCTGGTTGAAGGTTTTCTCACAATCTGAACATTTATAGGGCTTCTCTCCTTTGTGAGTTCTCCGGTGTATAATTAGCTTTGTCTTTTCCTGGAAGGCTTTGCCACACTCAGCACACACATATGGTTTTTCACCTGTATGAGTTCTTTGATGTATATGCAGTGTGGATTCCTCTCTGAATGATTTGCCACACTCATTACATGCAAAGAGTTTGTCTCCTCTGTGCACAGTCTGGTGTATACTGAGGTGTGTGGTCTTGTCAAATGTGTCTCTGAATTCTGTACATTCATAAGGTTTTTCTCCTATGTGAGTGATCTGATGAACAATAAGGAGTGAATTTGTGCTGAGGGTTAGTCTGCACTCAGGACATTCATAGGTTTTCTCACCGGCCTGAGTCATATCATGCTGAACAAAGTTATGACTATGATCTGTCTCATACATATTATAGTTATTGGGTTTCATTCCATTATTTATCTCATGCCTGCCATGAATTAATAAGTTTCCACATCCATTACATTCGTAACATTGCTGAGCTGCAAAGCTGAGACTATTAGGACTGAATAGGCCCAGATTATCCTTAAAAGTTTTACCATATGAGTCATTTATATAGGGTGCATGTCCTGAAGAAACTACCCATGTGCTCTGAGGAAGTGGGTTTACAAATCCATCACATTCACGACCTCCTTCCTTAGCCACATATTTCTCATCAATGGGTATAGCTTGCTTCAGGTATCTGTTTTGGTTTTCCTGGTGCCTCTCCAGCTGGTCTTCAGCTTGCCCATCTTCTAGAAAGAATGATAAACCATACTCTGTGAGTATATACCTTTGTCAGAAGCCGGCCTCTGATAGGTTGATGTTTATTTTAAGTCTAGCTACTAGTCAGAAAGAAATTCCAAATATATAGCTCTACTACATTCAGAGCTTGAGGGAAAAAAACCCAAGTTGATTCAATAGGCATTGGAACAGGAAAGTAACAATAGATATAAGTGACTTGACTGTTTAAGAAAAATAGCTTCAAACTGGAGACAGAAGGTAAAAATAAGTTTAGGAAACCATTTATAGGAAAAGGACGTTGGAAGAGGAGATTTAGGATTTGGGGAAAGGAGAAATTAGAATGTTAAGAGCTTTTCAGAAAGATTGAAAACAAGTGAGGTAACCAAGAGAAAAAGAGGACAAGGCCACAATACAGTTCCTCACCATCTCATTCCAAGCTTACCACGAGATAATAACTCAAAAACCTAACAGTTTGGAGTTAGCAATAACAATACATAGCCTTTAGGAAGATGTTGCTGAGCTTTCAGGATGACCAGCTCTCACAGACCCTCCAGGGTCTTATTCTCTTCATCCTCTCATCTCTCATTTCTTACCTGAACAACTTGAACTAGGGATTTCTCTCTTTATGATCCCAAGGACTCCCTGCTCCAAAGAGGCAATCAAATCTGGCTTGGTAATAGGATATCCTGTAATGGAAAATGATAGAAGACTTGGGCACCTCTGTGTGGCCTTTAGGGCTTCAAATAATTAGGAAGGTACATTTTAATGTGGTTAAATTTCACATGAAAATACAAACACCTTTTTCAGCTTAAGAAGGAATAACAAACTTTAATCTCTACAACCTGATGTCAAAGCATTGACGTACATCAGCGATGGTAAGTTATTCTACTGGGGACACTATAAATTACTCAGGGAAGCCATCCTCACCCAGAGAGACAAGATGGCTATAATTCTCTAGCATCACATCTCTGTATAGGGTCCTCTGAGAAGGGTCCAGTTGATTCCATTCCTCCTGGGTGAAGTCCACAGCCACATCTTCGAATGACACTGATCCCTGTAATTGTACACTTTTGTTCAATCACTTTGACAAAAATTAAAATGATGGTATTTTCCCAAAAATGTTAATATTTAGTGTAATGATTTTTTAACTGACACATAATAATTTTACATATTTATGGGTATAGTAATATTTAATACATGTATATAATATGTAGTAATCAAATCAGGGTAATTAGAGTTATGATTATTTTTAGATAAAGGAAATATTCTTCAGAGAATCTACTGTTTCATTTTCAGAGGCTGGGGATGTGCCACAGTGGTAGAGTGCCTGCCTAGCACATGCAATGCCCTGGGTTTCATCCTCAGCACAAGAAGTCTTCTCCAGGATATTTGCTATATCTATATAAAGCAAAGGACTTTTATACTATAGAAACTATAAAGAACTTCTATAATAAATAAATAAATATAGATAATACAATAGAAAAATTTTTTTTAAAAGTTTGAATACTTAACCAAAAAAGGATATTTCAATGGTCAATAAACATGAAAAGGTATTCAACATCATTAGTCATCAAAGAAATACAAACTCAGGCCGGGGATTTAGCTCATTGGTTTTGCCACCTGCTGCGCAAGCGCGAGTACCCGAGTTCGATGCCCGGTACCAAAAAAAAAAAAAAAAGAAATTCAAACTTAAACCACAATAAAATACCAATATATACCAAGAGAATCATTAAAATTAAGACCAATAACCCAAAAGTTTGCAGGGATATGGAGCAACTGAAACTCTGATACATTGTCAGTGGGAGTAAAATGGTACAGTCACTGAGGAAAACAGCTTGGTAGAGTCTACTAAAGCTGAAAATATTCCTATCCTAGGACTACCAACTGCACTCTTATGGATATATCCAATGGAAATGCACAAATATGTTCACCAAGACATGTATTAAATGGATACATGTATACAAGTATTATTTGTAATAGCCGAAATAGAAACATCCATCTGTAGTGGAACAGATGAACAACTGTGACATATTTATACAAGAGAATAGGACAGTCATGGAAAGAGAACAAAGAACTGATACATAAAGTAACAAGGATGAATCTTAAAAACATTACGATGGGCTGGGGACGTACCTCAGTGGTAGAGTGATTTCCTGGCATATATGAGGCACTGGGTTCAATCCCCAGTAACACCCCCCACCAAAGAAAGCAAAAATGATGAATGAAAGGCAGACCCCAAAATAATAATAATGTATGGTCATATTTATATAACACTTAATAACAAGCTAAAGAAATTTCTGGTGATAGAAATCAGAAAGTAGTTACTGGTAAGTTAAGAGACAGTGCCTTAAAGTGGCATGAAGGCTTCTGGTGGTGGGTCATTTCTTCCCTTTTTTTGGTACCAGGGATCGAACTCAGGACCTTGCGCTTGCAAGGCAGGCAGCAGATCCACTGAGCTAAATCCCTGGCCCATTTCCTCCTTTTTTAACGAAGTACTGGTTATACAGGTATTTTCAATTGTCAGAAATTCATAAAACTATACACTTTGTCCAGTTTTCTCTCTGTGTTATGCTTCAATAAATCCACTCCAACAGATTTTTATTTGAGTTATATTTCTACAAAAGGCTTTTTAAAGGGGTTGGGGATACAGCTTTGTAGTAGAGCACTTGCCTAGCATGTGCAAGGCCCTGGGTTCAAGCCCCAGCAATGCAAAAAACAAAACAAAACAAAAAACTCAAGAACCTCATAGGAAAAAGAACAAGATACATAAAAAGAAGTTCACAAAAGAAATATAAAAAGTGAAAAAAAGATGCTCAACCACCTTGATAATTAAATAAACAATGAGGGTTTTGGTTTTTGTTTTGCAGTGCTCCAGATGAAAACCAGGACCTTGCCCATATTAGGCAAGCATTCTACCGCTGAGCAACATCCTTATCTCTTATTTTTATTATATTTTCTCACTATGTTGCCCAAGTTCACCTCAAAATCTTCCTGCCTCGGCCTCCTATGGAGTTGGGTCTACAGGTATGTGCTACCTTGCCCAGCTTAAAAAATGAGATATTTTCAACTCTCAACCAGCAAGGCTTAAAACTATGACAATAGTCAAAAGGGTAATTTCATTCACTAGTGGAAGTGTCAACTTGTACTAACATCTGAAAAAGCAAGCTGAATTGTCCATGCAAGTTCAAAACATGCCTACCTTGTGAGCCAGACATCCTAGAAATATTTGTCACTATACACAAAGCTAAATGACAAGAGAGATCACTGCCACACTGTAACAGAAATCACACAAAATCCTTCAACATGGAGCTGATTAATAAATCAATGTGTGTGCATATAAGAGAAAAATGCATCTATTAACAATATCCCTATGAACTAGGGGTAGAGCTCAGTGGTGGAGTACTTGCCTAGCATGTGTGAGACTCTGGATTCCATTCCTACCATTACAACAAAACAAAACCCTAAGGCTGGGGTGTAGCTCAGCAGTAGAGTGCTTGTCCAGCATGCTCAATACCCTAGGTTCCATCTCCAGAACCACAAAAAACAAAACAAAAAAAACCTATGTCCTGATACTGAAACATCTATCAATAAGTCCTCACTGAGTAGGACCATCCCAGTTGTGCTAGGAATACCTGTGGGATGCTACTTGTTTATCTACTCTGGGACTCAGTTCCTCCTCTGTACTCCTTCATAGGGTTAATGTGAGAATTGAAGGGTGGCTATGCATGTGAAGTGCTTAGTCTAATGCCACGCATAGTGTAAGCTCACTACATGTTAGTCCCTGCTCTGCTGTTTCTCTTGCCATCACCATCATTTGTATTATTGTTATTATTACTACTACTATGGATGAGTATCCTTCATCCAAAATCTTGGGACCAAGAAACATTTTAGATTTGGGATTTTTTCAGATTTTGGGCATAATGAGATATCTTAGGGACGAGACATGTGTGTGCACACACGCATGCGCACGCTGGTGTTTGAGGTGCTGGGATGGAACCCAGGCGCTTGTGCATGTTAGGAAAGTGCTGTACCACTGAGCTACACTACCAGCCCCCAAGACGCAAGTCTAAACATAAATTAATTTTTGTTAACTATATGTTTATAAGTGTATGTAAATATAAAGAGAAAGAACAAGGAGAGAAAGAGCTGTACAGTCAAAAATTAACCAAATTCAACATATAATTGATTATATGGAATGAGTGGTGATATGAGATCATGAGATGGTTTTTCTTTTTAGGTTGTATATTCCTTGAGAATTTCAATTTTTGGTGCTACTCCTATCTCACTTCTGTAGGAAAAGGAAAAATGATGAAATTATATAGATTCTTTAAAGAAGAGCAAAAGAAAAAGAACTAAAATTGGTCAGGGACATCATGAATTCTGAACCTAAAAAGAAAAATAATAACCCTACCCTGTGGGTTTCTCAGGCTGTAGTGAAATTCCAGATGAGGAAAAGAATGTATTGGAAATCAATTTGAAGGGCTTAGGGTTTACTGATTCTGCCTGACAGCCAAGGTTTTATCCCTGTGCCCAGCCAGACCACAAGAGAGCCCTTTGTGCAGACATCACATTGGTTTCCTAAAAAGTCACATCTCTTTAGTTTTGCTCTGGCAGGACGCCTTTGGCTGACATGAAGACATATTTTAAGTCACAGAAGAGCAATCCTAGTCCTGTATTTATTACAAAATTGCTGATGGGGAACTTAGCTGACCTGTTAGAGAGAACTGTGTGATGAACATCAGAAAATCTTTGCTTCTGAGGAAGTGGTTCACTTTCTCTAAATGTGTGAGATAAATAAAACAAGTGAGTGTGTTTCCTTTCCTTTATGTTGTGATTTCTAGGAAACTCTGAAAAGTAACTAGCTCAACATAAGTATATAGAATGTAGAATCCTATGATATATATATATAA